AAAAAAAAAAAAAAAAAAAAAAAAAAAAACAAAAAGTAAATAAAGAAGAAATGTTTTTTCATGCTGAATTATTAATGTTTATGGGTTGTGAGTAGAATTCAACTCAAAAGCAAGTAAACAATGCAGTTTTGTCTTTCTCATTCATAGAGCTCTTTAGTCCCTAACCCTGTAACCTTCTTCTGTTTCTTCTTCTTCTCCTAAGCCTGAATAAAATTACCCATTTGTTACTATAAATTTAATTCTAAAAGTAGTTTATAACAATGTATTTGTATTGATCACCATGCCATGTAAAGTTTTTTTGTTGATATGAATGTCACTGTTTTCTGAAATAATAATAACAGTATATATAGCCTCTGGTTAATAAAAAAAAAAGTGTTATACATTTTTTAACACATGAAACTGGATAAGAACAATTATACGTCAAGTGTGAACTATAATCTCACAGAATTATTTTCTTAAACTTATTTAACAGTGAATGAACCATTAGAATATTGAGCGATCATAAAGCAGTATTCTTTTTTAGAGCTTCACGTACTATTATTGCTGCTCTTGTCCTGTTTGGAAAATATTATCGAAGAAATTTAGGATTGAAAAGATTTCCAAGAGGAACAAATAAAAGAAAAAACAACACTTTGTCCGGAACGTCGATTTTTAACTGTCATAAAACTTCCTATACAAAACTTTCTCCATGCTGTTATTTTAGAAAAAGCTGTCTTTGTTTCTAGAAATTTGACAGTAGTGGAAGAATAAAAGCAAAAGCAAAATGAATTTGAAGCACTACGTTAACTACAGAAATAAAACTTTAGTGAAATTAGTGGAAGCAAAATACTGTTCATAGAGAAAGCTTCATGCATTATTTGTTTGTAAATAAGCAAAATAACTTCTGGTTAACCTGCTACTTCCAAAGTAAAAACAGCAAAACGGAAAAATGCTCCAACTTTTGATAGACCTGACGGAGCTGTTAGTGGAAAGCACTTTAGCATTCTTCGATTCGCCGACCAGCTCAAGTAAGTGGTAAATGATCATTGAGGAAGACAATTATGAAATACCATTCTCGGGCAACCATTTTTCGCTCACTCAACGACAGTCAATCAAATTTGTTTTCAAATGATATTAGTCCACTAAGCCACTGATTAAAATTTAGAAAATATGACCAAACCGACTTCTCCAGCAATAAAAAAGTATGAAAAACAAACAGCCTCTAACATAAGTATCAAAATTCGGCATAATCGCTTCTAAACTAAACTTGCAGTCGGTAAAATACCAAAGTAATGTTTATGTAAACTTGTTGCCTACTGTTCATTTCTCATTTCAATACTGAGCACTTAAATTTACAGTCTATATGTTTGAGTTTATACAGTAGAGACAAAAAAGAAGAATAAGGGCATAGAAAAATCTGTCAAACAAAGAAGGAAACAAAGCTTTGCATAGATGACAGATTAAAACATGAATTGCCGCGAGCTTGTAACTAAAAAGATAAGTAAGTTGCGATTTTATATATAGACAAAAAAGTATAAACATTAAAATATTTTTAGCAAAATCTTTTAGAGGCTTCTGACTTAACTTTTTGCTTCATCGAGGAATCAGGAAATAGCAACTGACAGACCTAGTTCTTTGATTCACCCGCTATACTACTTAGTTTTTAACTGACACCTATATTGGCCATATCGTTTGAAAAATATGACAGTAAAATAATCATTTGTTGCTCTATACCCAGTATGTTAGAGCAAGTAATTGCTTCAAAAAAGCATATTGAAAAAAAAAAACGTGTTTTAGAGGAACAAGATCTTTTAGAAATATATATTGATATTTTGTATTGCCGTATACATAATTCTATTACAGCTACATAATATCATCTTTATACTGCCTTCAAAGCCTAAAATAATTACAATGAAAAAAAACGACATTTGCTCATTCTTTTCAGATTTGACAGTTTATAATCTATCTTCTCTGTACTCCAATGCCAAAGACAGAGACCTATGTTATAACAGAACCAAATATAGATAAGTTCTGCTCTCAAGCGCTTTTTTTTTTCTATACTATCAGAAATCAAAAAAACAACAAAATTTGTTTTTGTTTATGACAGTCTTTCTCATATTTTTCAATTTTTTCGTAGACGTT